CACTTGGGGACAATGGTTTGTCCCACTTGGGCCTTTGCCTCAGCAGCACAGAACCAAGTGTGAGCCATCAAAATACAGAGCATGGAACGATTCCATCCTAAAGCCAAGCAAACTCGATGTGCATGCTGCCCAGGGAAGGGTCCAACCGTCCAGCAGGGTGCTGAGCCTGAGCGGGGTGAGGGCAGCCAGGCACCGCCCATCAGAGCCCGAGCGGGTAAGCAGGGCATCCCTGTGGAGGGCAGCCGGTGTGGGAGAGTGAAGTCCAAGGGGGCGAGGAGGCCTCTGCACAGGAGGCCACCTGGTCAGCCAGCTGCAGCCTGAGCAGGGAGGGCAGGGGCCTGTGTGGGAGGCTGCCCGGCACAGGGTGTTGGAGCCCAGCACGGGCAGACAGATCCGTCTGAGCGGGGCAGACAGATCCGTCTGAGCGGGGCAGAGGGGGTGACATGGGGAGAGTGCTTACATACGAGGGATTGATCCAGTAAGTAAACAAACTCAGAGTAATGGGAGCCAGGTTTTTAACTGTCAGAGAAAGGAGTCACAAACGCGGAAAAGGAGGGAAAACTAGAGTCACCCTGAGGTGCTGGGTGAGAAGTGGAGGTGTCACGGGAACTCACACTTGACAATATGCACAGACAGGTGCAGAAATGCATGTTACATGAATGTGTATGTACACACACACACACATTCTCTAGCTCTTTCCACTGAAACAACACCGACACCCTAAAATCAATGAGCACACTTAGCCCCGGATCCTAGTTCCTAAACGCCATTGTCCACTAAATGGATTCAAGATTCCTTAGAGAAATGGCTGATTCTAGAACCGAGACATGGAAAGTACAAGATGAGCCTAGAACATGTGTGCCAACATAAGAAAGCTCACAAAAAGTGAAGGAGGCATGTCAAAAGGACACAGAAGCCAGCTTGAAGGTGCGCCCAGGGACCAAATTAGAGGCAATTTGCACGTCAAAGTCAGTACTGATAATAATAGATATAACCTATTGAGTAAAATAGGAAATTAATGATGAGGAATGAAATATTTACAGGGTTTCAAACTATCCCTCCCAGGAAATCTTACTAATTCTGAGGGGAAGAGCGATTTATTGGGGAGAAGCTGGCAGACATCGCGTTAACTAGTGGCCACAGCAAACGCCATCAGTAACAGGACGGATCAGAGCCGCGAGCCCCCTGAGAGTGCGCAGTGAGAGGAAGACAGCCTCACGGTGCTGTTCCTGCCAGGGAAGCGTAACCTGAATCCAGTCAAGTGGAAGCATGCAACCCACACTGAGAGCCATCCTACAGAACGCTGGCCTGTCATCTTCAAGCGTCAAGGCCAGGAAAGTTGAGGAAAGTCTGACTGCTCCAGCTTGAAGGAAATCAGAGACGTGACAACTAAATGCAATGTGTGGTTCGGAGCCGAATCCTTTTGCCACGAAGGATGCTATTGCGACCATTGGCAAAACGTGACTAGGATCTGAGCACTAGATGACGGTAACATATTAACGTTAACCTGATTTTGATGGTTGCATTGTGGCTATGCAGGAAAATGTCCTTGTTTCTAGGAAATGCACACTAATGTATTCAGGGATGATGGGGCAGCATGTCAACAACTTACTGTCAAATGGCTCAGGAAAAAAACACAGCTGTATTTGTACCTTTTCTGTAAACTGGAATGTTTCAAAGGTTCAAAGAAAGAAGAGAAAAAGAAGGGAAGAGGAATAAAAAATATTACAGGAGTCTGAAGCAGGGGAGGGGCAGGAGGCGCCTCAAGGTGTGAACCAGAAGGGGATGAGAGGGGCTGGGCGGTTCTTTTTCCAGGCAGGCATTCAGAGCCAATCCTTCCAGAGGGTCAGGGATTCCTCAGCTGCCCTTAGCCCACCTGCTGCTCCAGACCCACCCCACACTCTGCTACCAACAGCTGCGGGGCAGGAGCCTACTGCAAGCCAAAGGAGGGAGGTGAGCCAGGGAGGCTGCGGTTCCAGACCCCAGGAGCAAGTGGCAAGAGAGAGAGAGGAAGAGTAGGTGCCTGGGCAGACCCTCTGGGGTCAGGAATTACTACGCAGGTGAAACCTGCACAGAGGCAAGGATGTGGGCTCCACATTCTCTGAAGGCCCTGAGGGCCCAGGGACGAGACTCAATAACCTGAGGGGAACTCTGATTCAACACCTTTTGCACCCACCCTCCCCTCCTAAGAGGTCTCAATGCTCATTTCCAGGACCAGCAGGCACTCACAGCGCTTCCACATCAACGTGAACACACCAGGGAGGAGGACAGGAATGAGAGCCAAGCCCAAAGGTTCTGCCCCACTCTCAACCTCAGTTTCCACATCTGCTCAATGGGGAAACCACTTGCTCTATTTCACAGAGTTGGAGAAGAGAGATCCGATGAAAACACATGGATGCTAGACTGCATCACCCTTGTAGAGAAAGGATTGGCCTTTTTCCATCTTGGTGGGCAAGCAGAGAGGTCACCTCTCTGCCCCTTCTGTCCAGGTCAAGCACTTTCCTGAGGAGTGTGCAGAAGAGACCTGGCTTCCCTGAGTGAGCCAAGAGAGGCTAGACACCACCAGAGGTCGGGGGCATCTGAGCAACACCCCCACTCAGGATGGAAAGAGCCTCCGGGCCTCTGCTCATGGCCCCATCCATGCTGCCCACCCATTACCTCTAGCTTTTCTCACCATCACCCACCCACCACCATCCCCTTCACTCCCTCGCTTCCTCCCTTACCCAGCTTAGACTCCACGATCCATTACTGTAATCAACTGCTGGCTCCTCCCTCCCTTTCTCCTGTCCTCCCAGCGAAGCCGCGGCCCAGGCGGCCCTGCTCTTCACTCACACCCAAGCTGCTGAGCTTAGTAAGAGAAAAATCACACAACAGGGAGAGCTGAGCCCACTGTGTGTCCAAGTCCACGCATCTCTAACAGGCGCTGACCGCCCCCTGCAATCCCCACCAGCCCAGCCTATTTGCGTTCTACCCTCCCTCTGAAAGACCATTCCATTTCTTCTCGTCTCCCTTCAAAACACTTACACCTTTCTCCTCCCAGTTTCTCTGCCAATGACTGTCTCATTCTTCACTGAGAAAATGGAAGCCACAAACCAGAGGCTTCCCACCACCAGCCCACCTCCATCCGGACCTCCACCCTTCACTTTCCCTCTGTTACTCTGGTTAAATTGTCCCTACTCCCAGAAAAAGGCCAACCCCTCCTCTTGTGCCCTGGACCCCATCCCTCTTACCTTCTCAAGGTCCTTGCCCCTGAATTTACCTTTTCCTGAATCTTCCACCCTCTACTGGATCATTGAATCATACACACATGTTTTCACATCTCCTATCCGTAAAGAAAGCCTGCCCTGAGGGTCTAGTGCTTAAAATTCCACACTCTCACCACCACAGCCCGGGTTCATTTCCCCGTAAGGGAACCACACCACCCACCTGTGGGTTGTCATACTGTGGCAGCTGCGTGTGGCTGTGATGCTGAAAGCTATGCCACCGGGATTTCAAATACCAGCAGGGTCACCCATGGTGGACAGGTTTCAGTGGAGCTTCCAGACCAGATCAACTAGGAAGAAGGACCTGGCTACCCACTTCTGAAAAAATTGTTCATGAAAACCCTGTGAACAGCGGTGGAGCATTGTCTGATAGAGCTCCGGAAGGGGAGAGGATGGTGCAAAAAGACCGGGCAGGGTTCTGCTCTGCTGTACACGGGGGCGCTAGGAGTCAGAACTGACTGCACTGCACTAACAACAAAAATCCTTTAAAAATGCCAACTCCCTTCCTTGACCCCGCACCCCCCTGCAGCTCCTGTTCCGTTTTTCTGTTTACAGCAAGAAGAGTTACTTATAGTCCTCGCTTCACAATCTCTCCTTAACCTGCTCTGACTGGACTTCTGTCCCCACCCCTATACTTGAGTCTGCTCCTGTTAAGAACACCAGTAACCTCCGTGTGGTCCCTCCTCTGTTCTCATCTGACGTGATCTCCCAGCACTCCCTGAGTCCACCACTTCCTGTCTTCCCTTGGCTTCGTGGTCCTCCTCTCTCCTGAATGTCCACCAGGCTCACTGAATGTATCTTCTCGGCCTCTTTGCTGGCCCCTTCTCCTCTGCTTGACCTCCAAAGAGTAAACGCTCGACCTCACATCTCCCTGGAGCACTGAAATATCCTCTTAATGTGTCTCCTGCCTATAACCCATTCCAATCCATTCTCCAGAGAGAATGCTTCTCCCTCACTTAAAATTCTCCAAAAGGCCTCCATCATCCTTAGAAAAAATCCAACCTTGTTTTCCTAGTTTAGAAACCCTCTATGATCTGGCCCCGCTCAGCACATGGCCTGGGGACTAACTCGCATCCTGCCGACTGGTGAAAGATACAGGAGTTCTTGTAATCAGGACTCCTGTGGCTGTGAGTGTGTTCAAGATGGTTCCGGAGGGCAGGGCCAGGGGATGCTGCGATGCACGGGAAAGGAGTGAGGAGAGGCAGGGAAGGGAACACACCTATCTTTACGATCAGACTCCAGCTGGAAGAAAGTCCCACTCCACAGGGCAACCTAATTGCCAAGACAGCCCCATAAGCAACAGGGCTCTGGGCAGCAGAGGACCACATTTCTCCAAAGGCACAGCCTGGCGTCTGCTAGGATGCCACTGGGTGGGTGACAGGAGGTGGGGGCTGGGGGTGTGGAGAGAGAAGAGGAGGAAGAGGAGTAGCTGCCATTTTGTAAAACTCAACAGATTACCTACCGCTGGGGCCAAGCAGTGGGCGTGGAATTAAGGATTTAGCCATACGCTGGGCGCACTGGAAGCTGGGCTGGGACAAATGTGCCCTTGGCTGACATGGCAGGGCACCTCAGAACCCCATGGCCACAGTCCTGCTAACAGGCCTTAGCTGGGCTCCACCTCCCCAAGGCCAAGTGTTCCGTACTCTTCCCTCTCATGTCAGTCTACGCCACCCAAACAAGAAAGGGCCAGCCCCCACCCCCTCCATGCAGGGGAAAACAGGTGGAAGTATGTCTTACTGTTGTCCAAGTGGTTGGCCTTAATGATCTTCTCTGAGTAGTCAGAAATACTGGAGCATTCGATCTAGAGAGGGCAAAGAACAAAGGAGCAAGGCGTCAAAAACATCACAGCAGGTCCAACACCAATTTCATAGGCGGAGAAGCCTAGAGGGTGCAGTGACTGGCCCACAGCCGGGCAGCTGCTTTGTGGCAGAGTAAAAACCAAAACACAGCCCTCCGTGCTCGCAGGGCAGCGGCTCTTCCGCTAAATCGGACTGCCTTTGCGTGGGGCTGAAACCCAGCCCCCGCCCTCTGATAGAGGGCCTGGTCTCTGAGCTCGGAGAGTGGGGAGGAGCTGGCAGACTTCACTCTCCTGGCCAGGGGAGAATGGGAGGGGGAAGCACACCACTGTCCTGCCAGGAGAGGATGTGGGAAGGCAGAGCCAGGGCCAGAGCTGTGGTGAGCCTCCCCAGCCCACCCTCCCTGGTTAAACTGGGCACATTCCAGGAAAATGCCAGGTCAGGGCCTCAGGGCCAGGCTTAAGATCCTTCCCCCAACACACATGCACGCGGTTAACTCTCACCCCTTCTGTAGTCTCCACCTGTGAAAGAACTGATTCTTTTAAATCTAGAAGTCTTTTCAGCCTCCCAAATTCTCCTAAGCAAAGGGCCAATGTGACCATCAGCTGAGAGCAGGACCTTGTGGGCACAGCAGCAGATCAAGCCCCACCCTGGAGGTTAGAGGCCTGGGGCAGGCCAGGGCAGGGCCAGGGGTGCTAGAAAGAGACGGGCAGCTGCCAAGCACTGTTCTCACTCCTCAGCTGGCCCCCCACAGAGGCAAGCCTGCACTGGGGCCCTGGGCTGCCCTCACCTCCACACTTCCGCCCACCTCAGGCTGCCCCCAGGACCTTGTGGGGAGTATTTGCATAGGGCCAATGAGGGGATTGCTGACCACCTCCATCAAGGCCTTGAGGTGGGTGAGGGCACCTCAGGGTCGGGAAGGGGTCACTCCATTAGAGGAGGCAGACCCTGGCCGGGGCTCGGATCCCAGGAGGACCAGCCCTCTCCTGGGCTACCAGGTCCTGTGGCCTTCCATCCCACTGTCTGCAGGACCATGTTTCTCTCCAATCTTTCCCCTCCCTGCCACGTGTTCATCCCCTCTGCAAGAGGCTCTGAGTTTAGCTGTAAGGAACATGGGATTTGGAGCCAGGCAGCCTGGATTCGCATCCAGCCTCTGCCTCTTTCTAACCGTGCCTCAATTCCTCATAAGTAAAGGCACAGTCCCTGTTTCACACGGTCATTGTGGGGATTAAACGAGCCAGCGTGTCCTCCAAAAGCAGGCAGGACGAGGGAGGCGCCATTAGTACCTCCTTCCTCTTTTCCTTCCTTCCATCTTCTGCTTTTCCTCTTTTCCCTCTCTTTCTCTCTTCACTTTCCCCATCCTTTTCTTTTGTACTTTCTGCTTTGTTTTCCTTCTCCTTTATTGGATCCCTCTCTCATTACTCTAGCTTTTCTCTGAGTCTTTCTCTCCATTTCTCTCTTCATGTCTGTCTCTTTCTCTCTCTGTTCCACTGTCTCCATTTTCTGTCCTGGTCAATTCCGTCTCTCTCTCTCTCTCCTCTTCCCTCCCTCTCTCGCCTGCCATCCCATCCACCCCACCCCTGCCCCCGAAAGGAGCAGTGGGTAGCAGGGGGAGCCTGGAACAGGAGAAACTGTGAAGTGTGCCATCCCACAAACATCCAGCTGTTTATAAGAGAGCTGTTACAGCAAAAGAGTGGGAGGCAGACAGACTGGGGACGAGTCCCCACAGCTGGAAGGTGCCGAGTAGGAGCCTCCTGCCAGCTCCTTGGCTGGAGCCCCCAACCGACCTGGAAGCCAGTGATGGGCAGCCCTGCCTTTCCTTGCTCAGTCCTCAGCTACTCACGTCCCCCAGCCAAGACGGAGCTAGGACAGGGCCTAGAGACAGCACTGGGAGAGCAGGCTCAGGGATCACCAGGCGCTCTCAATCCCAGCCCAGAGGCTCTGCGACCTCATTGGAAGTGGAGTCTGTCTCTTGGCAGAGGCCTCCACCCTGGTGAGGAGGGCCTGGTGAAGGAAAGCCGGAAGGTGGGGAGGGGCAGTGCCGGTGATGAGGACAGGACTTGACCTTGGGCATCGGGATTGGCCCTATACCCTCAAGGTGTGCCTCAGCTGAGTTCACGGCTTTCCGGTCAAGGCTATGCCAGAGGTGCCCTGAGGGCAGCCCAGGTTTCCAGAAGACCCTCTACAGCCAAGGCCCAGTGCCTTCCTGGTCAGGCACGGAGGGGAAATGGCATCCCTGCTGGAGGACTTAGGGGAGGCCTCTGCAGCGGGGGGAGCCAAGGGGATCTGAAGGCTCCAGTCACCCCGGGGCCTGGGCTCTCAGGACAGGCCACAGGGTGCTCCAGCTGATCATGGAGATGAAGCCCACTGCGAGCTGCTCAGCTCCCCACGGGCCTCCGAAGATGGGCTGCCCTGTGCACACGCTGCAAGTTTGATTCTAGGGTGCCTTGATTTTGATCAATATTAATTCCCATTTTCCAGCCCTGGACCCACTGCATTTTTCAAGTGTCAGCCAGCAGCTCAGAGCTCTTCTTTCTCACAGTTTCTTCCCAGCTCCAGACACTCCCAGTCCCCCTGTCATCAGGCTGTGTCAGCTGCGTGGTGGGAGCAGAGGGAGGCTGGGAGATTTCCCAGAGGGTCAGCCTTTGCCTCTAGCTGGAGAGGCTGCAGCAGCCAAAGCAGCAGAATTTAAATCTACCAACTTGCCCTTTAAAGAACAAATGAAGGAGATTTTCTTGTTATTATCTCCTAGGGCCCCATCCCAACTATACCATATATGCCCTCTACATATACACGCCAGGCACTGTTCTAAACACTTCACACATGTATGAAACTCATCTACTCCTCACAGTCACCCCACGGGCAAGGCACTGTCATTACGCCCATTTTATGGACGGGTAAGCGCGGTAGAAGTGAACTGTCCGCGGTCGCACCGCTCGTGGGTGGAAGAGTGGAGATTCAGACCAGAGCTCAACACGTGGAACCGCACCGCACTGCCTCTCAGGCCGATAGGAGGACTAAGCCCTGTAGGGTACTGAGACACCAGAATGGTCTCTGAGAAGTCAAAATGTCAGCGGTCGCCAGGGCACGGAGCAGGAGCAATGCCCGGTGACAGACAGCCGTGGAGCTCGCCCCGCCTCCGCGGAGCCACACGCGACTTTCTCCCGGAGAGGGTGACCCCAGCAAGGAGCCGGGCCACAGTCTGTGCTCCTGGGAAGGGCCGGAGAGGCAGGGCGGGGACGGCGTGAGGGAGGGAGTGGCGCGCTCACCCCAAACACCTTCTTGGCGCCCGCCTTGGCAGCGAACATGGAAAGGATCCCGGTGCCGCTGCCGACGTCCAGCACCACCTTGTCCTTGAACACGTGCTTGTTGTGGTACATGGAGTTCCGGTACGTGAGCGTGCGCACCTCGTCCTTCAGCATCTCCTGTGCGGAGGGAAGGAAAGGCAGCGTCAGTGTGCTGCGGCCCGTGGGAGGACGCCGGGGTCCTGGGCCCCAGGATGGTCCCGCCAGAGTCTTCAGCGCTCTCAGTGACGTCCTTAGGCAGAACCACAGAAGAGTGCTGTGGGGCAGCGGGGCCAGGGCCTACGTGCACAGTTACAAACAACTCCGACCTCACAACTGTGCCCAAGCGAGACAGCTCTGGACTATCAGAGGAGATTCTCATGTCCAGACCCGGGCAAGCTCCAATTTCCCAAGAACAAAAGGATCAGTACAATGCAGGGTGAGAGCTTGAAGTTAGACCGGAACCAGAACTTTCTGCCGTGGTGAGAGAATTGTCATTGAACAGGTTACTAAAGGAGATTTTGGGGTTTTTTGACGAGTACTTTTTTTGTTTGCTTGTTTTTAAAAATAGAAAACATGTTCCTTTATCTACCGTTATTTAAGCGCTTTTAACAGAGAAAGTAGATTACCTGTTACAACTGTCTCCAGCCTAAGAAGAACATGACTAATCTGTGTATGGTGGTAAGGCAGTGATCTCCATCCATTCAAGATATCGGCAAACACACTAATTCATTACCAACAGTATTAGGACTTTTTTAGCATAATTTTAGTATAATTTTTTAGTATAACTTGCATACGATAAAAAGCACAGATTTTAAATGTTTGGTTAGGTGTAAGAGCCTTGACAAATGTACGTACACCTGTGTAACCACCCCCATAATCAAGATACAGCACATTTCCATCAGCCCAGAAAGCCTCTCAAGCCCATTTACGTTAATCCTCATCCCAGCTCCAGACAACCAAAGATCTAATTTCTATGACCAAAGCTTCCTTCTGCCAGTTCGAGAACTTCACATAAATTGAATCATACAGTACGTGCACTTGTGTGTCTGGCTTCCTTTGCTCAACGTAAGGTTTTGGGGATTCATTCATTTTATTGCATGTATCCAAGGTTTGTTCCTTTTCTCTTGTTGCTCGTGTTCTTATGGTTGTAGTTGACCAGTATTCCATTGTATGGGTATACCACGATGTATTTATCCATCCATATGTTGATGGATATTTGGGTTGTCATGCATAAAGCTGCTACAAACATTCTCGTATGAGGATATATGTTTTCATTTCCCTTGGGTAAATACCTAGAAGTGGGTTTGCTGGGTCTTAGGGTAGGTGTTTAATTTCATTTGAAATTACCAAACGGTGTTTCAAAATAGTTGTGCCATTTTATGATCCCACCAGCAATGTATGAGATAGTTCAAGTCACTTCACATGCCAGGCACTTAGTCTTATCAGTCTATTTAGTTTAGGCATTCTAGTGGAGATGAACTGGTATCTCATTGTAGTTTTAATTGCATCTCCCTGATGCTACTGATGAAGATAAGTTTTTTATGTGTTTAGTGGCTATTCATATATATCTTCTTTTGTGATATGTCTGTTCAAGTCTTTTGTCCATTTTTTTCTTGAGCTATTTGTCTTTTCCTTATTGAATTGTAGGAGTTCAGATATTCTGGAAACAAATCCTCTGTCAGATATATGTATTGTGAATATCTTCTCCCGATCTGTGATTTGCCTTTTCATTTCCTTAATGCTGTCTTTCAAAAAGCAGTTTTTAATTTTGATAAAGACCAATTTTTCAGTTTTTACTTTTATGATTAGAGTTCTTTGTGCCTTGCTTAGTATTTGTCTACCCCAAGATCACAAAGATATTCTCCTGTTTTCTTCCAGAAGTTTTATAGCTATGGCTTTTCCTTTTAGGTCTATGATTCACATCAAATTAATTTTTGTATATGGTGTAAATTAGGGATGTGAGTTGATTTTTTCATACGAATAGATGGTTAGGCAGCACAGTTCATTTCCTCCGTTGAATTACGTGGAGGAAACCCTTTGCAACAATCCTTCCTTTGTTCCAATCACTTTGCCATCTTTTTTTTTTAAAGATTTTATTTATTTATTTTTTCCCCCCAAAGCCCCAGTAGATAGTTGTATGTCATAGCTGCACATCCTTCTAGTTGCTGTATGTGGGACTCAGCCTCAGGATGGACGGAGAAGTGCTGCCTCGGTGCACGCCCGGGATCCGAACCCCGGCCACCAGCATTGGAGCGCGCGCACTTAACCACCAAGCCACGGGGCCGGCCCCCCACTTTGCCATCTTTGTCAAAAATAATTGACTGTACATGTGTGGCCTCTCTGATCTGTTCCATTAATATACCAACTCAACACTAACTTGATTACCATGGCTTTATATTAACTCCGACATGAAGTAGTGTGAGTCCTCCAACTTAGTTCTCTCTCTATAAGATGATTTTGGTTTTTCTAGATCCTTTGAGTTTCCATATACATTTTAGAATCAGTTTGTTAATTCAGACAGAATAGCTTCCTGGAGTTGATTGGAACTGTATTGAATCTATAGATCCATTTGGGGAGAATTGACATCTTAGTAATATTGAGTCTTACAATCCAAGAACACTGATACAGCTCTCCATTTATTTAGGTCTTGTTTAATTTCTGTCTGCAACGTTTTATAAATTTCGATATAGAGGTCTTGTATTTCTTTCATTAAACTTATTCTTAACTATTATATTGTATGGTACTGTATATGATAGTTTTAAAATTTCATTTTCCAACTGTTTTATGTGAGTGTGTATCTTGACCTTATATTTTGCAGCCTTGCTCACATACTAATTCTAGTAGGATTTTTTGTAGATTCCTTTGTTTTTCTATGTAAAAACTCTTGTCACTTGTGAATAAAGACAATTTTACTTCTTTTTTCCTATCTGTCTGCCTTTTATCTCTTGTTTTTTCCTCCTGCTCTGTTGCATTGGCAAGCACGGCCATTCAGTGAAACATTGAATAGAATTGGAGAGGAAGGCATCTTCCTTTGTTCCAATAATGCACAAACGTTACCATTGGGTGTAATCTCAGCTGTGGGCGTTCAAAAAATGTCTTTTATCAGACTGAAAAAGTTATCTTCTACTTTTAATTTGCTGAGAGTTTTTATCATGACTTGGTGTTGAATTTTGTCTCATGCTTTTTCCACATTTGTTGAGATGGTATAGGACTTCTCTCCTTTGTTCTGTTATGTATTAAACTCCATAGATTGGCTTCCAATGTTGAACCAACATTGTGTCATGATGTATTATCTTTTCAAATATTGCTGAGTTTTATTTACTAATATCTTGTTGCAAATTTTTATATCTATATTTATGAGGGATACTGTTCCATAATTTTCTCTTATCTTCTCTGGTAATCAGTTATGCTAAGCCCATCACACAAGTTAGGAAGTATAATCTCATACATTTTCTAAAAAAGGTTGTGTGAGGTTGGTATTTTTCTTCCTTAAATATTTGATATAATTCACCAATAAAACCATCTGGGCCTGGAGTCCTTTTTGTGGGAAGATTTTAAATTATGAATTCAATTTATTTAATAGATAGAAGGCAATTTTATTCTCCTATGCATTCTTACATCAGTTTTGAGAGGTATTTTTCCAAGGAATTTATCCATTTCAGCTCAAATGTCAACTTTATGGACATAACATTGTCATAATATTCTCTAATTACCTGTTGCATGTCTATGTGATGTGTAATGATGTTTTTGTCTTCATTTATGATATTATAATTTGTGTTTTCTCTGATTATTTTCTTGATCAATCTAACTAGGTGCTATAAATTTAATTAGTCTTTTCAAAAACCAAATTTTGGCTTTGTTGGTTTTCTTTAATTTTTGATTTCTACTTTATTTATTTCTGCTCTCATCTTTATTATTTCCTTCCTTCAACTTACCTGGACTTTGTTTGCTCTTCTCTCTCTACTTCATGAGGTGGAAGCTTTGATTGTTGATTTTGTAACTTTGGTTTTGTCTAATATAAGCATTTGAAGCTATAAATTTCCCTCTAAAGATTTCTTTAACTGTATCCCACAAATTTTCATATGTTGTGCATCTTAGTCAATTCAGGCTGTTATAACAGAATACCATAGACTAGGTGGCTTAAAAAACAACATTTATTTCTCACAGGTCTGGAGGCTTAGAAGTCCAAAATGAAGGCGCCAGCAGATCCAGCATCTGGTGAGGACCTGCTTCCTGGTTTGCGGATGGCTGCTTCTCCTTGTATCCTCACAAGGCAGAGAGCAGAGTGAGGGAGCTAGCTCTCATGTCTCTTCTTAGAAGGGCACTAATCCTATTGATGAGGGCCCCACTCTCATGACATAATTACGTCCCAAAGGGCCCACCTCCTAATCCCATCACATTGGGGGTTAGGATTTCAACACATGAATTTTGGGGCACACAAACATTCAGTCCACAGTATTGTGTTTTCACTATCATTCAGTTTGGAATATTTTCTAATTTCTCTTGTGATTTCTTCTCTGACTCTGATCTCAGTACTGCTTAATTTCCAAATATTTGGAGATTTTCTAGATAATTTATTGCTTTTGGTTTCTATCTAATTCCATTATCATCAAAAAACCATACTCTGCATGATTTCAATCGTTTTAAACTTGTTTATGGGCCAGCATGTGATCTGTCTTGAGTGTTTCAATGTGCACTTAAAAAGAATGTGTATTCTGTAGCCTGGGGATGCAATGTTCTATAAATGCCAATTAGGTCAGGTTATTTGATTATGTCAGAAAATTATTCAAATTTTCTACATCCTTACTGATTTTTTTGTGTATTCAGTCAATCAATTACCAAGAAAGAAGTGTTAAAAAATTTTTAAGTGTGGTTGGGGATTTGTATTTTTCTCCCTCTAGTTCTGTAGATTTTACTTCACGTTTTTGAAGCTCTGTGCACACATGTGCGATGGCTTTGTAACATGTCACCCTGGCAGGCTGAGCTATATTTCCCAGAATTCTTTTACTACAATCTTTCCAATGAGGGTGAGTCACAAGGGAGACTCTTGCGAGACTTGGAAAGTACAAAGGAGATATGAACCATTCTGTAGTGCACACACGTCACTGCTGACTTGTTGATTCCCCGAATCGGCATGA